AGTTACATGTCAGCTAGTTACAGAAGATGTTTTATTTCAAGAGCTATATATTTACGGTGTCATTATACATTAATGGTAGGGGTATGGGTGGTTAGTGGTCCTGGTTGTTGAAATTAAGGCTGGGAGTCTAACTGGGGCGGGTATAACGAGAGGGGTGTTGCTGGGAAGTTCTAGGGGGGATGGGGGGTCCTGGAGGGGGCAGGGGTGAGGGGGGGTTAAGGGGGGCGGGGGGGTTGAGTGGAGAGGGTCAGGGAGGTAATGACAGCGTTATATGGCAACTCGTCCTCGACTCAAGTCCATTACATTCAGCGGTCAACCCCACAGACGCATTCATAAATTTTAACATGCTGTTCATTCAAAATGGGAATTTTCTCAAGTATAAATTAATATTATAATATATTGGCATATTGTGTATATATAGGCATAGGTTAGGTTAGGTCAGGTGTTTAGGTTCTGTTGGCGATTATTTGTATTTGTAGTACGTGGGTGAAGCATTTATAGCGTTGTGATTCGAACAAAATTCGTCAGTGAAGCACTTGTTCCGGATATGTTCGAACGTCAGCAGTTGTGAGTCGTGTGTAAACCGCTTTTCATTCATAAACAGGGGGTTTGGCGGGTGGATGGAATCACTTTTGGATCTTTGTTTGGAGGACGGGCTGCATATGGGGAAGGTTTTGGGTGAGGCAGAGCGGCCAGTCTGCTCGGGTCACCAGTCCGTTTTCTATCTTGTCTGGTTAGTTAGTTTAATCATTTATTATACACCATATTTTTCAAGCCATAAATGTGAACAGTTGAACGCTCTTGAATATTTTTCAGATAATGTTTATTCACTATTTTATAATTAGAGGCATTTATTTTGGCGAAGATCTTGCGAATCAAGTTCAAGTTCAAGTATGTTTATTGAGATGAGGTTTATTGAGATAAGAAAGAACTACATCTCAAAGGGATAGAGTAGCTTAGGCTATTTCTACCCCCGATCTTGCGAATTACTCTTCGTCTGAGTAAAGAGATTCCCCATACTACCTTGTATGGCAGTCTGCTACCCTTTTATTCCATACAGTACCAAGGTAGACTGCCCTTGTAGAGCATCTTGCGCTGCATCTACTCTTTGTTCAGAACAAACACCTTCTTGCATTTGTGTGACTTATATCAAGCATCTTCGCTTTCTACTTTTTCCCTTAAGTGTTTCATATCTCTTCTTCAATCTTTTATCTTTTCTAACGTCAGTAAGTACAATTTTACATGTCATTCCTCGTACTGCATCCACCTAACACTGGACCTAGTGAGGAGTGCCAGAGGGAGGCCACAGGGTGCCTACTGTGCTGCTGTACAGCTCCAAGACCACTCAACACCTCTCTTTGTTACTTGCACCAAGGGCCACTTCCTGCATGTGTTGAACAACTATTTCCTATGAAATATTCAACCCACATATGTTTTTTTTTTAGATTTGCGGAGGAAGGTAATACCACTCAAGTTACACCATATTTGGGTTATGTATCCTTGTAAACATTATTTCTTATAGTCAGGGTCACTTCCACTACACATAGGCAGTGATGTGGTGGAGGCTGACATACACAGTTTCACATGTAGATATGATAGAGCCCAGTAGGCTCAAGAATCTGTACACCAGTTGATTGACGGTTGAGAGGTGGGACCAAAGAGCCAGAGCTCAACCCCCGCACGCACAACTAGGTTATCTTATCTTGAGATGATTTCGGGGCTTTAGTGTCCCCGCGGCCCGGTCCTCGATCAGGCCTCCACCCCCAGGAAGCAGCCCGTGACAGCTGACTAACTCCCAGGTACCTATTTACTGCTAGGTAACAGGGGCATTCAGGGTGAAAGAAACTTTGCCCATTTGTTTCTGCCTCGTGCGGGAATCGAACCCGCGCCACAGAATTACGAGTCCTGCGCGCTATCCACCAGGCTACGAGGCCCCTCCACCAGGCTACGAGGCCCCTCCACCAGGCTACGAGGCCCCTGGTGAGTACATAAGGGACATAACTAGCCGACCCCTCACAGTGTTTAAGAGAGAACTTGACAAGCACTTCCAAAGGATACCTGAAGATTGATTGATAAAGATTAAGCCACCCAAGAGGTGGCACGGGCATGAATAGCCCGTAAGATACCTTATCAACCAGGCTGTGATTCTTACCTCAGCTACGAGCATCCGCATCCAACAGCCTGGTTGACCAGTCCAGCAACCAGGAAGCCTGGTCGACGAGCGGGCCGCTGGGACGCTAATCCCCGGAAACACCTCAGGTCAGGGCCGGATTAAGACCCTCAGAGGCCTCTAGCACTGAAAAGGTTATGGTACCCCCCCCCCTATACCGTACTTGTAAATGAAAATAAAATCAATGGTAAATCGTAAAATACTGTATATATATATTTCAATGAATAACTATTATTATTTATATGAAATAATACACAAAAATCACATTATGGTGATATATCAATGAACAAATCCACAGGAGCTGTGACGAGGCACAAGGTTCCAACATAGGTCCTGTGGATTTGTTCATTTATATGAAACATATTACACCTATTACTCCATTGCGTTCTTGCTTTGATGATACACGGTATGCTATCATATCTTGAGGTTATCTTGAGATGATTTCGGGACTTTAGTGTCCCTGCGGCCCGGTCCTCGACCAGGCCTCCACCCCCAGGAAGAAGCCCGTGACAGCTGACTAACACCCAGGTACCTATTTTACTGCTAGATAACAGGGGCATAGGGTGAAAGAAACTCTGCCCATTGTTTCTCACCGGCTCCCGGGATCGAACCCGGGATCACAGGATCACAAGTCCAGTGTGCTGTCCGCTCGGCAGACCGGCTCCCCCTGTATTATATAATTATATTAATATTTTTGAGTTTATTATGGGGCTGCCATTTTCTAGGCCCTGGTTCAGCTGTAACACTACACCAGAGAGCAGTGTTCGTGTTCATATAAATAGGCGCCTATCAGCTGGGTGGACAGCGCTTTGGATTCGTAGTCCTAAGGTTCCGGGCTCAATCCCCGATGGAGGCGAAAACAAATGGGCAGAGTTTCTTTCACCCTGATGATCCTGTTTACCTAGCAGTAAATAGTTACCTGGGAGTTAGATAGCTGCTACGGACGGGTCCGTCTAATTACCACAAGCTACCACAAACTACACAAACTTCAGAAAGCTTCCTGGCAATACGTTAGTAATGAATAAATATGATATATTAAGTTAGGCTGACCTAACCTAACCTAACCTATCCTAACCTATCCTAACCTAACCTAACCAAACCTAACCTAACTTAACCAAACCTAACCTAACCGAACCGAAGCTTGGATCGTCGACTTGATTTGGCGTCACCAGCTTTTTATTTTCGTCTAATTTCTTTATAAAAAGATACTTTTTCAGATTAAAATTATGTTTTTCGTGTTGTACATTCAGCACCAACATTATAATGAGTAAATATATCATATTTATTCATTACTAACGTATTGCCAGGAAGCTTTCTGAAGTTTGTGTAGTTTGTGGTAGCTTGTGGTAATTAGACGGACCGCTACGGACTGCTTCCTGGGGATGCGGACCGAGCCGCGGAGACGCTAAGCCCCAAAATCATCTCAAGATAACAAGGGTCCATTGCAAATCCCCGTAGTGGAAAAAAAACTTTTTAAGGCCCGTCTTTACTGGAGCCCTTAAACACCACGGGCTTATTGTGCTTAATGGCTAATCCAGGCTCCTTATAGTATGTGTTTATGGACAGTTAGTGGGGGGGGGGAAATGTGTGGATTAGGCTACTCTCCTGCCGCCCGGCCTAGCCTATATTTATTATAAGAATATAAGAATGAAGGTAACTGCAGAAAGCCTATTGACCCATACGAGGCAGTTCCTATTTATAACCACTCAATCACACTCATATACATGTCCAATCTACGCTTGAAACAATCAAGGGGCCCATCTCCACCACGCCATGTGGCAACTGGTTCCACAAATCAACAACCCTGTTACCAAACCAGTATTTACCCAGGTCTTTCCGAAATCTAAACTTATCCAATTTATTCCCATTGTTTCGTGTTCTATTTTGAGTTGATACTTTTAATACCCTTTAATATCCCCTTTGTTATGCCCATTTATCCACTTGTAATCGTCTATCATGTCACCCATAATTCTTCGGTTTTCTAGAGAATGTAATTTAAGCTTTGCTAATCTGTCTTCATATGACAGGTTTCGAATTTGCGGGGTTAACTTTGTCATCCAACGCTGGACACGTTCAAGTGAATTTATATTCATTGTATAGTACGGCGACCAAAACTGAACTGCATAATCTAAATGGGGCCTAACCAAAGCAAGATATAGCTGAAGAACAACACCAGGTGTCTTATTACTAACGTTTCGATAAATAAATCCCAGTGTCCTATTTGCCTATTACTAACATTTATGCATTGATTTTTTGGTTTTAAATTCTTACTAATCATAACTCCCAGATCCCTTTCGCAATCTCAACACCATCTAGCTCGTATCTTGTAACTCTATCATCATTACCTCGCCTCAAACTTTATATTTGTCAGCATTCAACTGTATCTGCCAATCTTTTGACCATTTCAAAACCCTATTAAGATCGTCTTGAAGTGATAGTGAGTCTTTTTCCGAGTTTATTTCCCTCCCGACTTTAGTATCGTCGGTAAATTTGCAAATATTGCTGCTCAAAGACGTAGGTTCGAATCCTCGTCACGTCCCTTGTGGATTTGTTCAGAGATCCCAGGGCAGAGCCTTGAGGCACTCCACTCACAACATTTTCCCAGTCTGACGTAACCCCATATACAGTATACTAACATGGTATACTATATACCATGTCTTACGAGTCATCATATATGCGAACCATCATCCACCATGAGGTGTGAATGTATGATACATGGGATAAATTGGTGTAAGAGGGAGTGTTGTGACGGGACAGGAGGGTGGAGGGAGAGGACTGAGTGACCTTGGTCTCCCCAACCAGGCCATTAATGCGGCGTTATAGCCTCACACATTCAGTCCCGCTCCGGCCGCTACGCCGAGCACACTGTGGCTCCCGGCCCGCCACCCTCTCTCTCTACTTTTATCATTGTTGCACCTCACTCTTATCAGTTCTTGTGTTTACTGCATAAACGAAAGCGTAATCTCCGCCGCTAAACCCAAACGTTATCACGTAGTGAATCACTGCGGCTGTTATCAGGATGTGACGCGCGAGCTTTAGCCGGAATTAAAGTGAGGCATTTGTGTTCATTGTGGCTGAAAGTGTCCAATACCCACCATAGTGGTGACGGGCACAGCTGACCCTCGTGTGGTGTAGCTACCCACCATAGTGGTGACGGGCACAGCTGACCCTCGTGTGGTGTAGCTACCCACCATAGTGGTGACGGGCACAGCTGACCCTCGTGTGGTGTAGCAGGGGCAGGCAGCTCCCCCCCCCCCCCGACACAATGGGGCACAGAAGGAAAGGTGAGTTCAGTGCTGCATTTGTAATCCTTTGGGGGATACCCACAGGAGCCCATTAGGCTCAGGAATCTGTACACCAATTAAGAGGCGGGACCAAAGAGCCAGAGCTCAACCCCCCCGCATGCACAATTAGGGAAGTACAGGAGTAGGGGCTCCACAACAAACTAGCTGTAGCTACCGACGACAAGTTCAGTATTTTTTTATCTTGAGTGCAACTTCTGAGTGCGGGTCTGTACTCACCTTGTTGTGCTTGCTGGGGTTGAGCTCTGGCTCTTTGGAGTCTTGTGTGGTATGGTCGCTGGAACTGGTCCTGCATGTGTGGTATGGTTGTTGGAACTGGTGCCTGCATGTGTGGTATGGTCGTTGGAACTGGTGCCTGCATGTGTGGTATGGTCGCTGGAACTGGTCCCTGCATGTGTGGTATGGTCGCTGGAACTGGTCCCTGCATGTGTGGTATGGTCGCTGGAACTGGTCCCTGCATGTGTGGTATGGTCACTGGAACTGGTCCTGCATGTGTGGTATGGTCGCTGGAACTGGTCCTGCATGTGTGGTATGGTCGCTGGAACTGGTCCTGCATGTCTGGTATGGTCGTTGGAACTGGTGTCTACATGTGTGGTATGGTTGTTGGAACTGGTCCTGCATGTGTGGTATGGTTGTTGGAACTGGTGCCTGCATATGTGGTATTGTCGCTGGAACTGGTCCTGCATGTGTGGTATGGTTGTTGGAACTGGTGCCTGCATGTGTGGTATTGTCGCTGGAACTGGTCCTGCATGTGTGGTATGGTCGCTGGAACTGGTGCCTGCATGTGTGGTATGGTCGCTGGAACTGGTCCCTGCATGTGTGGTATGGTCGCTGGAACTGGTCCTGCATGTGTGGTATGGTCGCTGGAACTGGTCCTGCATGTGTGGTATGGTCGCTGGAACTGGTCCTGCATGTGTGGTATGGTCGCTGGAACTGGTCCTGCATGTCTGGTATGGTCGCTGGAACTGGTCCTGCATGTCTGGTATGGTCGCTGGAACTGGTCCTGCATGTCTGGTATGGTCGCTGAAACTGGTCCTGCATGTCTGGTATGGTCGCTGGAACTGGTCCTGCATGTCTGGTATGGTCGCTGGAACTGGTGTCTGCATGTGTGGTATGGTTGTTGGAACTGGTCCCTGCATGTGTGGTATGGTCGCTGGAACTGGTGCCTGCATGTGTGGTATGGTTGTTGGAACTGGTCCTGCATGTGTGGTATGGTCGCTGGAACTGGTGCCTGCATGTGTGGTATGGTTGTTGGAACTGGTGCCTGCATGTGTGGTATGGTCGCTGGAACTGGTCCTGCATGTGTGGTATGGTTGTTGGAACTGGTGCCTGCATGTCTGGTATGGTCGCTGGAACTGGTGCCTGCATGTGTGGTATGGTCGCTGGAACTGGTCCTGCATGTCTGGTATGGTCGCTGGAACTGGTGTCTGCATGTGTGGTATGGTTGTTGGAACTGGTGCCTGCATGTGTGGTATGGTCGCTGGAACTGGTGTCTGCATGTGTGGTATGGTTGTTGGAACTGGTGCCTGCATGTGTGGTATGGTCGCTGGAACTGGTGTCTGCATGTGTGGTATGGTCGTTGGAACTGGTGCCTGCATGTGTGGTATGGTTGTTGGAACTGGTCTTGCATGTGTGGTATGGTCGCTGGAACTGGTCCCTGCATGTGTGGTATGGTCGCTGTAACTGGTGCCTGCATGTATGGTATGGTCGCTCTAACTGGTCTTGCATGTGTGGTATGGTCGCTGGAACTGGTCCTGCATGTGTGGTATGGTCGCTGGAACTGGTCCTGCATGTGTGGTATGGTCGCTGGAACTGGTGCCTGCATGTGTGGTATGGTCGCTGGAACTGGTCCTGCATGTGTGGTATGGTCGCTGGAACTGGTGCCTGCATGTATGGTATGGTCGCTGGAACTGGTGCCTGCATGTGTGGTATGGTCGCTGGAACTGGTCCTGCATGTGTGGTATGGTCGCTAGAACTGGTCCTGCATGTCTGGTATGGTCGCTGTGAACGCTGATCTCAATCCCCACAAGCACAACTAGGTGAGAACACGCACACACAATAGTCCAACAAATGGTTGTTAGAGCTTAACCCGGCAAATGTAATGTAATGAAGATAGGTGTATAGAGTAGGAGGCCAGGTACACGATACCATTTGAGAGATAAAATTCTTCTAGAATCAGAGAGAAAGTTCTGGGGGTTGATATCACGCCAGACCTGTCCCACGAAGCCCATATCAAGAAGATAACATCAGGGGCATGTGTCAGGTTGGCCAATATAAGAATGGCATGTTGATTGTATGGAATCATTCAGAAACGTTGTATACCACGTATGTCAAACTAATCCTGGAGTATGCAGCTCCAGCATGGAGTTCATATCTTAATTGTCAAGAATAAGACTAAATTGGAGAAGGTTCAAAGGTTTGACACCAGACTGTTGCCCAAACTGAGGAGCATGAGCTATGAGGAGAGACCACAGGAATTAAACCTCACGTTACTGAAATACAGAATAATTAGATGGACATGATCACCACATACAAGATTCTCAAGGTAGACAAAGACAGTTTATTTAACACAAGGGGCACACGCACAAGGGGACACAGATGGAAACTGAGTGCCCATATGAGCCAGTGAGACATTAGAAAGAATTGTTTTAGTGTCAGAGTAGTTAATAAATGGATTACATTAGGCAGTGATGTGGTGGAGGCTGACTCCATACACAGTTTCAAATGTAGATATGATAGAGCCCAATAGGCCCAGAAACCTGTACACCAGTTGATTGACAGTTGAGAGGCGGGACCAAAGAGCCGAAGCTCAACCTCCGCAAGCATAACTAGATGAGTACATGTACGCACACCTTTCAAAGGAAGACAGAGAAAAGCTGAAAATAAACCTCAATGAAGCTAAACATCTAAATGGGAATAGAGAAGAAAAAAATATTTTTTTTTCTACAAAATATTAGGGATTGGAAAGCTAGTGAAATGGTACATAAAAACAAAGCAACAAAATCATTAGAAAAAAGGGAAGTAAAGGGCAAAGGGCATGGGAACAGGTTCTTAAAAATTTTATATACTAACATAGATGGAGTGAGGTGAACAAAAAATACTGGAGCTAAAAGATATAATTCAGATTGAAGGTCCCAGATATTGTCGAACTAACAGAGACGAAACTTGAAGACAATATTTTAAATGAAGTTGTATTCCCAAGGTGCTCCTCAGTTTGGAAACGTGATAGGAAAACTAGGAAGTGGGGGAAGAGTGGCTGTGCTGGTGAAAGAACACCTGAATGTAAGAGAGTTAATAACCGTAAAGTTGATAAACCGTAAACCCTCGAGGAGTTGATATAATGGAATTGCAGGTTTAGAATCAGGATGATAAACTGATAGTCGTAAATGTCTACAGCCTACCAGCTGGCAACACATGGACTTAGGAGGAACTGGATGACAAACTAGAGGACCTCATAATGGTCATGAGAGAGATTATTGTAATTGGAGATAAAGATAAATCACGATTGTTGGCACTGAGGGACTTCAACTTGTAAGCAATAGACGCAGATTTGTAAACCTCATTCCAGAGACAGTCATGTATTTACACGTCAAGCAGGCCACAAGAATGAGGTAAGAAGGGGGATGTTCTATCAATACTGGATTTAATATTCACCAGGAAAGAAGAAGAGATATTTAACATCCAGTACTTTCCTCCCTTGGGAAAGTGATATTATATCCTTTTGGAAATTAAATATGCTTTGCGATATAATTTAGAAGGGAATGGGGGACATTGAAACAGCCAATAAACTCGATTTCAAGAGGACACTTAGATAGAGTAGCTTAGGCTATTTCTACCCTCCTCTACTTCAGGTCCCCTCACGGGATCACAAAACTATACAGTACACAAATCATGTGTTACAATACACATGGCAATAGATATCCCACACAACTTATTACAAACTGCATTTTAGTGTTACACTCTTGGGGTAAAGTGCTCATACCTCCTAAGAATTCCCCCTTATCATTCCATTGTCACACATCCAAACTATTTGATGTAATACACTACTGATTACTTTATTTCTATAGTTAGCAAGAAGTTGAGGCTCTAATACATGATGATCTAAGGTATGGGCGTGCGGCATGATACATAATTTACAATCCTTACCTTTTTCACTCACATCAGCACCGTATTGCAAGAAATATTTATATCCTAATGTTTATCTCGTGTAAGGTGAGTCCTTCCATGTAGACTTTCTCCTCCCATAAGTGAAAAATGAATGTGTTTAGTATTGCATAATGCTTAAGTGTGTTACTGCTCTCTACCATTGCCGTTTTCTTAACCTTTTTTTTTTTAACTAAAATATTATTCTAATTGTTTATTATCATTCTTATTGTTACTTTTGCATAAAATTAACTGCAATTTTTTAATTAGATTCGTTGTAATTGATTTTGTTTCTAGTTCTTCGTATATTAGGATTGTTTATGAAATATTAGGTTATTTCCTGTTGACCATTTCCAGTTTCTCACGGTCGTGGTGTCCTCGTGGGACCTCTTCCCACTCCTTTGTCTTCACTCACTTCCTCTCCGTCTGACCAAGCTCAGTATGGGCCAAAGTGCTTAGCTTCCCATTCTTTTTCAGATGTGAGATTGTTGCATTCCGAAGGTCATGCGTTTCGTGACCTTGTTGCTTATATATACTGTATATAAAGAAAAAAATAAACAAGAAATGACGCATGTTAATTTCTTACTTAGTTTACTTAGGTCTCTGAATGACGTTTTAATTTTTGTCAGCATAGAGAACATAGTTGTCGTTATTCTATTTATATGTCCTTCAGGAGTTAGATTAAATGTTACGTCCACTCCGAGGTTTCTTTCTCGAATCGTCACAGGAAGGTAGTTTTCCTTCATTATGTAATGACCCTGTGCACTCCTGTCACCTGATCCCATTTCCATAACTTTACATTTGCTCGTGTTCAACTCCAGTAGCCATTTATCTATGTC